TGTAGGTGTGGGTGCAAGTAGTGTAATGTAATTCCACATCTACACCCATACCCTAATTTTCTAGCCGGAATGTTGTCTTGAATAAAAATGAAATATTTCAAGAATAGTAGGAGTATACAAATGTTATATGAGTTAATTTCTACAATTCTGCGAATATTTCATTACTAAATTTATAAAAAATGTAAAATGAGTTGTCAAAATTATTATAGTCGAGATGTAATTAAAGTAAAGATCATAAAATTGCAATGACAATGTAAGGCATCTAAAGATTTCCTGTGTTATTATAATGCACTAAGAGTTACGATCGATAGATTGTTAGAGAAGAAGAAGAGGAGGAGGACGACGACGACGACGACGACGAAAGAAATTAGGAATAAAGCCTTATCCAATCATTTAGTCTCTTTCTAAACTCATTTTTGTAATCTAGAATCACCTACCACATCAATTTCAACAACAACATCAACATCAACAACGTCAACAACAACATCAACATCAACAACGTCAAGTTAGTAATATGCTGGATGATTTGTAATAGCCTAAACGACGAGTATCACAAATGACCAAATCTAAAAGTTTTGGTTTTAGCTGTCTAGTGTTCCTCATCTAGATTTAGAGCATCAGAGAACTTTGTATGAGTTTTAGAAACAGGATCAATTTTTGATAACTTAATTTCATTTAGAAATAGTCAAATATTGGATATTTTAATCGATTTTGACAGTATCATGCAAATACGTTGTCGATAGAAAGATTCTCACATGGTGGTACTCAGTGATCACTTCAGGAACTCCTCATTATATTGGAAAAGGTTAATAATGATAGATACTATGACTAAATAAAGTCAGATAACGCCATTGCTTGTAAATATAACATAGAAGATAATTGAAAATATCCATTCAAATGAAAAGAGATGCGCTTTCTGTCTGACCCCAATGTTGTAAGTACTATCATGCATCAACCAGATCATGTAAGAAATGTAATATTTATTGAGTCATTTTTGAAGACTTATATCCAGTGCTATTTGCAACTATCACTATTTCTCGTAGTATACTATCAGCACGAGTTTATTACAAGTATCATCTCTATCAATTACCCACATTAAAGTTTAGGCAAACTCGCATACTAAACATTTCTAGTTGATCATAGTTATTTATTTGAGAACAGAAGTGAATCCAAGAAAAATCTTCTTTTATAACTGAAACAGTAGATTTTAATCTATATTTATTCATGATATGGTCAGTTTTAATCCGATTTATCGGTATAAGTATACACGTAGAAGTACCAGTTGATATGAACACCTAATCTCATGTTTCAGGTAGCATTTATATAGAATCGACGTGTTCAAAAGAAGTTGTAGTTGGATAAAATACTAACTGAATACTCGAGAAATACATCTTTCATAAGTATCGATTTTTTTCATGAGAATGATGTGCGCATTATATAACTTCATGCACAATCACATTCATTCCAGTGGCGAAGCCAGGATTTTGAGCTATGGGAGGAGAGAGGGCTCAGCCCCAGAATCGTTTTGTTCATCTTAGGAAATATAATTTTTTTACGCAACCAGTGCAAAATTTTTTTTTCGCTTTTTCGCACTTGGTTGGATAGAGGTCGTCGAGCCGAGTAAGAATATATCAGTTTTTATATTTTTCCCAAAGTACTGAAAGACTCATTTTCTTGAAAAAAAAATATTAAAAAAACTGATCTTTTAATGTTGTTTTCAATTTTATAGAGCGTTTACATTTCTTCGGACTATGAAAATAATAGATTTAGATTTATCGTGAAAAACTGCATCGATCTGACCTTTTTTTTGATATTCCTTAGTGAAAATATGCTTGTAAAATGAAGGAATTCAAGAGTAAAAAAAAATATTAAAAGGTGAGTTTTTTCTAATATTTTTTTCAAGAAAATGAGGCTTTCAGCACTTTGGGAAAAAAATCGAAACTTATCAGCAAAAATCTTTCGAAAAACAATACAAAAAACTGATATATTCTTACTCAGCTCGACGAGCTCTATCCAACCATGCGTGAGAAAACGAAAAAAATTTTGCTTTAATTTTGCATTGTTTGCACCTTACGTTATCGAGTGAATGAAATATGAAACTGAGAAATCTCTAGAATCTAGTTGACGCTCATATTAAATGTGTTTTTATTTGTTTAAAAAATACATATGATTTCCACACAATAAGGTATATCTCATAGAGTATTCCACTACAAAGAATAATATGATTTTGTATCAGAAAAACATAGTTTCCAAAATCTTGCTGGGGGGGGGGAGGGTCACTGAGCGCCTTACTCCCCCCGGCTCCGCCACTGGCTTCATTTGCAATTCAACTACAACAAAAAAACAAACTCAAAATTTCATTGAAAACTAATCTTTTCTGTTTTTCATTCTTTTCTAGAACCGAAATTTGACAAATGGAAACAAAATGCCATCACTGTGGCTGGTGGAAATGGAAACGGAAAAGAATTAAATCAACTCTCTAGTCCTGTTGGAATCTCTATTGATCAAAAGAAAAATATTTTCATTGCTGATGAATATAATAATCGTATTGTCGAATGGAAATATAATGCAAAGGAAGGACAAATCATTGCAGGTGGAAATGGGCAAGGAAATCGAGTAGATCAATTAAGTCGACCAGCAGATGTGATTGTTGATCAACAAGATCATTCGATCATCATTGCTGATTATGGGAACAAACGAGTGATTCAATGGTTGAATCAAAAGCAACAGATTCTTATGCAGAATATTGCCTGTTACGGCTTGGCAATGGATAAAGATGGATTTCTTTATGTCTCTGATCATAGTAATAATGACGTGAGAAGATGGAAAATGGGTGAATACAACAAAGAAGGAATTGTAGTGGCAGGTGGAAATGGAAGAGGGAATCAACTCAATCAACTCAATAATCCTGCTTTTATTTTTGTTGATGAAGATCAATCTGTTTATGTACCGGATTACAATAATCATCGTGTAATGAAATGGAGAAAAGATGCAAAAGAAGGAACAGTTGTGGCTGCAGGAAATGGTCGAGGAGCAAATCTCAATCAATTGTGGTCACCTGAAGGAGTAATTGTTGATCATTCGGGTCAAATATATGTGGCGGATAATGGGAATCATCGAATAATGCGTTGGTGTGAAGGAAAAGAAGAAGGTGAAATTGTTGTTGGTGGAAATGGTCAAGAAAATCAATTGAATAATCCCAGTGGTTTATCTTTTGATGATGAAGGAAATCTTTATGTTGCTGATAATTTGAATCATCGAATTCAAAAATTTGAAATAATTTTGTGAATGAAATTTTAATTTTGAAAAAAGAAAAGAAATGTTTCGTGGAATAAAATAATCGAAAAATAAAAATAAAAAATAAAATTTCAAGAAAAAGAAATTGAGGGTGGGCGTGGATGTAGGTTTAGGTATTATATACTGAAATTGTATCCACACCCATACCTATCCTCAGGAGTTATGGGTCGAAGAATAATATTTTAAGTGGCAAAAGTATACTAAGTAGACCAAATAGTTTCAATTGTTTTATCTGAAGAAAACGTTTTTTTAAACAGAAGTATCTGTACGCTGTTACATGCACACATGTTCACTTTTCTATCTCTTATCAATTTGAGTAGGCGACAAATAAATTGTCCGTGAATTTTACGGCTAGTATTTAAATGAGCACTAATAGTGACTGAATGAGCAATAATTAAAATACGAATTAGCAATAATCTTTGAGCAATATAAAAATCTTTTTTGAGCAGTTTTAAATTATGAAATGGTTAATAATTAATCCAGTAAATAGCAATATTAATTTCATATTTTGGTAATAAGAAAAAGAAAAACTCCAGTTTTTATTTCTACAATTGATCATAAAAAAAAGGAAAATGAGCAATAAATGTACTATTATAGCAATAAAGCTTCTTTTGCTTTACATGGTCAGCCTCTTGAAGGTGTGGGTGTTAGTATGGATGATGATGAAGTGAACATATACACGGACCCACACCCACCCTCGAGAAAAGCTGATTTGTTGATTAACTTGCTATAGACTTCACCTCTTTTGAGTTCAGTTCGGTTCAGTTTGGACCTTTTAAAAAACTAAATCGGTTCGGTTTGCTTCGGTTTGACAATTTTTCGGCAGAATTCGGTTCGATTCCAAAAAATCACGAACCGATTCCACCTCTGATATATATATACATAAACAGGATGGGAAAATTCAAACACAGTGAGGGAAAAATAAGGAGAAAGGAAACTACTTGAACGAGTCAACGTTTGGAAAATACTTCAGATAAAAAGGAAAAAACAATATATATGTGACGATCTTGGATAAGCCATCTATACGATACAATCAAAAGAAGGAAAAGAAAATATCCAACACAGATGAATGGTATTGTAAACTCCAGTCTATAATAAAAGACCACTGGGTCTTCTGTTATATTTCTCAAACTAAGCCTAAATTTACTGAAATCCTCATCAAAATACACATAATTTGTATAGAAATTCTTTCCAGAAGGGTCTTCTATTATTGGAGGTTCCTCTATTGAGAGGGGGTCGTCTGTTATAGAGGGGATTTAACAGCTGAATTTATATTGCTCCTTACAAATACGGTTTATTGCTCGTTTAAATAAATTATTGCTCGTTTAGTATAATTATTGCTCATTTAATATGATTATTGCCCATTTAGTATAATTATTGCTCATTCAGTATTATTATCGCTGATTCAATTTTATTATTGCCAAATTTCGTTATTGCTCATTTCGATTTTATTATTGCTCATTTAAATATAAGTCGAATTTTACTACTATGTTCATTCTTTTCATCTTGTTCGGCAGAACTGTAAGTATAATCTACAATTTTTAATAAAGAAGCCTTGCATATGTGAAGATTGGGATATTGTTGAAACTCTCGATTTTCCTGCAAAACAACTTGGAAACAAATACAACATCGGTAATTACGCTTGTAAAGATAAAACCAAGTTTGTATAGAGTGTCAGATTTTTAAAGTGGTTTTACAGTTTGTAAAATACTGAGGAGAAGTTTGTAGTGAATAAAAAGTATTTCAGAATAGTTTTAAACTTATTAATACTGCCGATCTACTATGACTCTCTCATAGTTGTTACTGTTAATGTCTTCAAGGTATTATGATTATCGTAAAAGTTCAGCAATTAGGCTGTGAAATTTGTTTTTTAGCTTGTATTTTAGGGTGTGGGTGTATAAAGGAAACAGTCAATTACATTCAGATTCTAACTTACATTTACACCCACACCCATACATGCTTTTTATTAGTCTTTCAAACACAGAAAGAATCCGATGAAAATCAAGTTATTTGTAACACAAGCCTAGGCTTGGAAGATGATCTTTTAATCGCGACTCCTATTTCGAAAAAGTTTTTTTTGTTATTTATCTGAAAAGTTTCGATTTTTTAATTAATCAACAAGGTTGTTTATTTAAAAAATATTTTATTAATAATTACAAAATGAATATCTGATACAAACAAAAATACAAGGTTATTTTCATTGATATTACTAACAAAAATAAATTTGTTTTAATTAAATGCTAAATACTATGTAATCAAACAATATTTTCCTGACCGTTCTTGTGATCGACGTTGACAACGAGATTGTTGTGCGAGTTTATTCAAAGAATCTAAATAATATTCATTTAACCATTTTTCATGGAAAATAAATATTCTTTTAGTCTGATATGTTTCTCCATTGATGATGATTGATGAAGAAAGTATTGATGAACAACCAATTTGACAGAACTTTTCTTTCCATAATCGGATAATTTATCGTCGGAAAAGAAATTTTTTTAATAAATAAATCTAAACTTGAACAAAGAGCTAAAGAAAATATAAATTGCTGATCTTCATGAGATAAAAATGAGTAATTGAAATAATTTGTGAATTCATTTAAATAATACATTATTTTTCTAATATCATTAAGCGAAATTTTGAATCTTTCCATTGAATTACCAGTTGTAATTTGTTCTTGTTTTCAATAGGACATTTTATCAGAATTTTCGAATGATATAAAAAGAATTCATTCTGATATATATTTGTCTTTACAATATTAACATTTCGCTGAAAGGAGGAGAATATGTCTCATTTTTCTTCCTCTTCGTGTCATATTCTTGATGAGATATATCAAGTGTTTTGTTCACCGATAAAGTAAAATCCATAAAATGTAGAAGATTGTTGCATAAATGAAGAACTACTGAATGTTTTCATTTTCGCGAGAATTGAAAATAATATGTGTCAATACATGAGAGATAGGAATAATATAGAGAAATGCAGTTTTCGCCGTTGAAAGGAGATTAATTTAGCGCATCGATTCATATACAATTGTTGAGATTTATTTCATAAACAAGTAATGATTCATGGGCATCTTTACAAGATAGACTATTGTTCTATGAAGGCACAATGAATCTTAAATTTTTGAGAAATGAACTAGACGCGTCGGGAAAGTGCTATGATTGCTCGAAAGAAAAAAAAACGAAGACTAAAATCTCGAAAAAACAACTAGTAGCAGTATATTACTATTGAAAATCGTCTTTTTCCAATATTGAACGAAACGATCGTTGCTGACTGACGAGTTACTCTTTGATGACATCTTCTTTTGTAGGCTGTCACAGTCGCTTTAACAAAAGAGTCCATCAACCATCTTGAGGAGTGTAGGTGGGGATGTATAAAGGAAACCGTTAATTACATTCGCATTCTAATTTACATTTACATCCACGTCCACATTCACACCCTCACGATGGATTCAATTAAAAACAAGGATGATACTGTTAAACAAAATGTGTATGTGTAGGTTTTGATATTTGAACTTAAATTAAAGTTAAAACTTAGAAGACCTAATTACTTTTGTAGGTATTCCAGAAAAGGTTACGCAGTATGTCTCTGATATTGATTCAATTAAACTGAACCTGAATACGATATAGAAGCAACTGTTGGTGTATTTGTAACAAATACAACATCAAGAAGAAATTTTGTTTTTGTATTAACAATAACAATAAGTCAGTTTTAGTTCATGTTCTACACATTTAAACAGCAGTATTACATTTTGTCGCCTCGAATAACGTTACTCGATTACCATTATGATGAGTATTATATGCTTGAATTTGTGTGAAATGTATCGTTACGTTATTATTGTAAATTTGTGTAGAACTGTGGATTCAATCTTTGTTGTAAAATAGCAAGAATAAGAACGATAGAGAGAGCAAGGAGAAGAGAAAGGGAGATATACGACACATGTACGTATGTGTGCATATACATATATACAGGATCACGATAGGGAATAATCCCATATCTAGATGAGAGGAAAGGAAAGAACCATACGTATATATGATAGAAGAATACAAGGAATGTTCCAACATGATCAGAGGGAATATACCAATATGTATATCACTAGATATATTGGATATTTCCTACAGTCTTGTTTGAGCTATTAATCGTAGTCAAGCAGATTCGAGGGTGGGTGCGGATGTGGATGTGGATGTGAACCATATACATATACAAACTCAGCATCCACATCCACACCCTCAAGACTTTTTTCTTCGATATTTTTATGCTTCGACATTTTTATCCTTCAATAGTTTTATAGTTCGACATTTTTTACTTCGATCTTTTTATACTTCGATATTTATTACTTCGATATTTTTACAGTTCGACATTTTTATACTTCGACATTTTATTTTCGATATTTTTCGTTCGATCTTTTTATACTTCGACATTTTTACTGTCGACCAAAGTTGGGAGAATCAATTATTCATCATAATGAACAATTTCAAAGGATAATAAAATAATAAGTTTAGTTGATTTTGTTAAATGTGAATGTGACATTACTAATTCTTTTGCTTATGTATTCGTTTCTCATAGATTTGATGATATTCATATTGTTGAATAATATCTGATGAAGATTTATTCTGAAGATCAACAACTACACTTTTCTTATCATTTATCTAATGTGTGAAATAAGAATAAAATCAATTATACAACACATTTCTGACAGCATATCATATCTTTCAACTAAATGCAAAATAATAAAAATATTTTATTGTTGAGGAAGCGTTTGCATTTGCTTTGTTAAGGCATGAGTTGTAATGTATTCTTAACAAGGATAACATTAAATTTTGTTTGAAACACTTTGTTTTCACATCCTTCCTACAAACATTTCAATATCATGAACATTTTTTTCTCTTTACAGCAAATAATGTCTGGCATTTCATATTAGTTTTGCAAAAGGAAATCGATTCATTGCTTTTATTTATTAATAAATTCAAATGCTGTATTTGCTGCAAATATTT